TGCCTCTGGTAAGATGGGGCCAAGACGTTTAGTAGAAACCGAAATAGAATCAGAAATAGTATAAGGAAAGAATTAAGAGTTATACATACGGGGACAGACAGATAGAGGGTTTTACTTACTGAGCATTGTTTTGTGCTCACCCCGTTATTTTTCCTTTGTGGATGCAGGATCTAGGTGATGATGCAATCGGAGGGGCGTCGACAAGCGAAGAGCAATAGCTACACTGTTTCCCCTGTTTTGTCTTTTAAAAATGACTTTTTGTAAACAGTATTCATTGTGTATAAAAGACATATGACTTATAATGAAAAGAAAGTTTTCGGGCCCAATTTTCTATTGTTATTATGCATGCATTGTACTAGTTTACAGTAGTTGTTACACATATTTTACACCTTCTTTCCCATTTTACCCTTACTCTTTCTTAGGAATTCCACCTTTGTCCTTTTAATTCTTTGCAAATGCACCCCCATTTAAACTATTCTTCATGCAATTTCCTTGCATTTCACTCCCCACTTTTCCTGCTAATTAGGGGTAGAATGGTCATTGTGTCCCAAAGGAAGAATTCTCTAAAAACTTAATAAACATTTTGTCATGCCCTTCGCCGGGGCGAAGAACGGCGAAGAATCTTTCTTCGCCCGGCGAAAACTTCCAGAACCTACACCGTAGGTTGCAAGGCTTCATCGCCGCAGTGAAGCTTTTTCTTCGCCCCGGTGAAGGCTGTAACACAAAAATTCGCCAAGTCTTTACAAATTTCAGGGCAATCACTCAACCAACTCACACTATCAATTCAACCAAGGACAAAACAATAAGCATTCAAGTAATACAACACAATTGAACTACGTACCTCAAGTGGGGCGTTACACACGTCACACAATGGCATGGACGACACGCCCCTGTCAGGGCAATGAGTGTGCGTCAGACCAGCTAGGAGCTAGAGTGATTCCACGTGTCTAATCCCTACACCAAATCGCGTAAATCGCTCTACAAGGTGGGCAATGGGATATAAAGAAGGATTTACACGGATAATCTCACCAACTCACAGATTTAGTAATCATAACCTTAACACATCCCACTATAAATTGAGAGCTCCTCTCTCATTTGGGGGATTAGCTAATCTCTCTAAAGAAAAATAGCATTCTCTCTCTCGTGTAATCATTTGTAAGTCAGTCTATTGAATGCGACCTGACCACTATTATTAATACAAAATCAGTGGACGTAGGATTTGCTTCCTTTAGCATCCAAACCACTTTAATAGTTATTCTCCATTGCTTTTACTCTCACTCTCTCATCCACGTGTGTCTTTTGACTCAGCTCAGCATTTCACACACGTATTTGGTTGGTGTCAAAATCACGCATCAACAGATTTTTTTTTTTTTAATCATCAGGGTGTCTGAGTCAATTTGCATGCACCTCAACTAATCCTCCGAGACCCTGAAACTACTGGTTGGATAAAAGCTTCTTCAGATAATACCCCTATTAGCACTGGAGAATGAACTTGAATTCAGGATCTCATGAAATTTCTTTTACTCTTTTACTACTAAGTCATCCCGTTGTTGTCAGTGAAAATTATGTTGGTCCAAATCATTCATCACATTTATTTTCTTTTCCAAGGTAGTGATACCGACACCTAGTTAAAATAATTAACAGTCTGGTCTTCTCATAGCAGCCACATTAAATCGTTTACTTTAGAGAAAAAAATTGTGATTAGGTTTAAACGGAAACAGTTTCATTCTATCCAGAAGATAGAACCTTGCCCACCCCCTCTTCAAAAGGATTCGATATGGCCATATGGTCAGTATCGATTATATTATATTATTTTCAATACATATAATTAAATTTGTTTTAGGTGGGATTTTAAAAATAGATATAATTAAGCCTGCTAATTATGGCACGTGTAAAAGAAAGTTGGGTTTACATTATATGTTTGACGGCTAATAGGAGATTTGTTTAAGATTAATTGGTGGTGAGCTTTAATTAATTTTTTAATTCCTCACTGACAAATGGGAGGTCAGGGTTGACATGACAATAATATTTATTTTAATTAGAAAGAAGCTTCCCATGCCCGATAACTTCTTTTTATAAATGATATTATTCTTGCTAATATGCAAAAAAGTAGACAAATACAATCTGGCAATGGGGCTTCATTAATTTTTTATTAATTTTTTTTTTTGGTTNTGGGAGGTCAGGGTTGACACGACAATAATATTATTTTAATTAGAAAGAAGCTTCCCATGGCCGATAACTTCTTTTTATAAAATGATATTATTCTTGCCAATATGCAAAAAAGTAGACAAATACAATCTGGCAATGGGGCTTCATTAATTTTTTATTAATTTTTTTTTTTTTTGGTTTTTCTTTTTAATGTGATGTTATTGAACCAGAGTGGCCTGTTATTGACAATGATTCATAAATGATTGAAAACTATCCATTGATTTGTTGAACATAATCAGAACATGGGGGATTTTCTTCAATAAATTATTTTCCATTATTAGCTAATTAAATCATACACGCAATTACAAAAGATTCGCAAATTGTTTCATTAATTAAAATCATATTTATATGGAGATTTAATTGAAATAATAATAAGATAAAACGATGAGAAAAGGTTTTAACTTGTCGGTGGAGACTGGAGAGAGACATTTTTTCATTCAATTTCTACAAGTTTCCAATGAATAATTTAGGGTGATGAAGAGGGTAAACTCAGAAATGATTAGTGGTCAAATTTTATATTTTGTCGGTGGAAATTCTATTAATCCTTTCACATTTCAAGTTAAGGAAACTACAACTAAGTTAATACTGAGGTATTATATTCATGAAGATCCAACAAAATTTCATCTTTATCTGATTCGTTATTGCTAATGTCAGCACTTAGAGTTCAGTTCAGTGTACCCAGATGGAGGTCATTTTTAATTTATACAACAAGCCTTAGTTTTCACTGACGTCAACTCTTTTCCTCACAGTTGCCAGTTCCTAGATTTTCTTAATCACATTGGCTAGAATAATGATGAGCTGCTGCGCTTGAATCACCATTTCATCATCTGCTCAACCTTATTTATTCATAATTTATTGCAGTTGTTCGCAACGGTCCTCAAGTCTGCGGTAAAATTTAACTGCTCAGATGAAACAAAATTAAACATTAATTAATGTCATGGTGTTCGCAATGTATTGTGTGTGGTGTGTGGTTTTTTCGTCAAGTTTAGGTCGACGTAAGGGTATAACTCGATTTAGAATGATTTTGATGACTATGATTGATCGATCCAGTATAAGCTAGTCACGGAGAACCCGAATGATCATTCAATCAATTTCTAGATAACTTTAGATTCCAGATATTACAGGAACGATCAGATTAATAGTAATCTTTACGCAATTTTAGTGCCTAATTGTGAGAATATCAGAGTTGCAGTCCCAATTAATTGTAATCCTTTTATTTTTGCTCTTTCCTTTATGTAAATCTTGTATATATATCCCCTAAAATGATGAGAAGGGGAATACCAAATTCTAGTTTATAAGTTATATTGCAAGCTCTCACAATAAATAAGCAAAATACAGTAGACGTAGACTATTAAACTTCACCGAGCCACTTTAAAAGTCTTTATTGCCATTTATTTTCTAGCATTTTCGTTTACTTATAACTGATTACCCATAATCATACACACATCTATTCTGATCCCGACAAAGTCGATCGGATCTCGCTGATTGATGCAGATTTCTATATCAACACACATGTCTTAGGTCACTGATGGGTAGCTTCATGTTCTTCCTTAGGAGAAAGAGAATCACAGTCCAATGTAACTTTTATTAGTTTATACACTTTCCCAGGACTTCAGAACTTTGAATGCGAACAAGGAAGGGAGAAAGAAAGCAGAAGAAAGAAAAAGATACATGCTCTTCTTTTTGTAAATTCGGATGAAGAGAGGAAAAATTAGTATGAACCCTCTCGTACATTAATAGAGATGATTATTAAAACTCTTACTCGATCGATAATTTCAAAGACTTTATATAGAAGATTAGTGTGTAATTGAAATAATTAATTATAATAAGGGTGAAAAAATAACTTAACAAAGCTGAGATGTCCCTTTAATTACCCTTTATTCTTTAGGGGAGAAGTTAAGAAAATGAGGGGTCCAAGGGAAAAGTTTTTCCACCTCGTGTTCCTTGTTATGCTCCTTTCACTTTTACCAAACGAAAGAAAATTTATAGCTCTCTTCTCTCTCTTTCTTTCCAATACTTTTTCTTCTTCTCTCTTAGTCTCTCTTCCAGAATATGAAGTAGGTTTCATAAAGTCAATTGCATTGTTTAAAACACAGGGTAACATTCACATTTCTGGTTTTTAAGCCATCAGGGCTCTTACTGCCATTTCTTCATAAAATATATTTTTCTTCAAAGACAATTTTTTTTTGCTTTGGAATACTTTTTTTTTTTTCTTTTTTTATAATAGTAGAATTACAACTAATCTTGGCTTTATATTCTTTTAGCCTTTATGGTCGGCTATTTATTGCCCCTTCTGTTGCTATTCTTTACAACATCGCAAACTCTCTCCATCTCCTTTTTCTCACTCTCTTTCTCTCTCCTTCATCTTTTAAGCTGTCATTAAGCTTATTGTTACTTTATCCATTAAGCAAAAATGGGGTTTAAGTCATCTGATAAACCAAAGTTAAAACACAAGAAGGGTTTATGGTCACCGGAAGAAGACCAAAGGCTCAGAAACCATGTTCTCAAGCACGGCCACGCTTGCTGGAGCTCCGTTCCTGTTAATGCCGGTGAGAACATGCTTATAAATAGTTGATTATTGATTTAGTTTACCGACTTTCCATGCTGCTTATCTTCATTAAATTTTCTGAGAAGATCAAAATAGAGCAGAGCATGTATTCATGAATTATAGGTTTATATATAAAGTCCTTCATGTTGTAGCTCTTGCAAAATTTATAGTTTGTTCACACATATCACCATCTTTTGTACGCATTTTCCAAGGTTTTGTTTGCTTTTCTTCAATGTTTCTGAATTTGTGAGCAGACCCAGATAAGATAAAGCTCTGTTTTAAAATACAAGCTGCATTTGCTTGATTTCAACCAGATAAGAAGATTAAAGTCGCATTATTTGGTAGAGCTACTTGAATTGGAGATGAGCAGATGATAATTATAATTTGACCTTTCATTTATATTATTTATTAACTTATATATATCTTCAATAAAAGAGGGTCACGGGGTCCCATTAAATGTTTCTGGTTTTCTATACATATGAAAATTTTGATATTTCATCCTTTTTGGTTGTCTCACTAATTTTCTGTATTTATTTGGACGGCATGGCAACTCCAGTCAACCAGACGAAAGAATTTTTCGAAAATCTGACATGTTCAGTAGAAAAAAAGATGGAATAATTTCTATTATTCTCAAGGGAGAATAAACATATTAATAATTAAGAGAAAGAAACTAATTATAACTTGAACTTCAATTTACTAAACTAGCCTTGAGATAATTATTTTTCAGGACATTAATGAAATTTAATTTTTACATGCATGCAGGTTTGCAAAGGAATGGAAAAAGCTGCAGATTGAGATGGATTAATTACCTGAGACCAGGATTAAAGCGAGGAATGTTTACTGTACAAGAAGAAGAAACAATCTTGTCCCTCCATCGCCTGTTAGGGAACAAGTAAGTAACGGTCTTAGATGTTGCGGAAAATAATGTGGACCCACCTATTTTTTTTTTCTTTCAACTAGTGGGTCCCCACTGAAATTTAAGGTTGACTTTTCTGTTCAGTTGGTCAATGATACTGAAATGGAAGCTATAGTGAACTTTTTAAGTTTTAACTGAATTGGAAGCAGCCTTATGGTTATTATTATTGTATTAGATGACAATAATTGATTAAAGTAATCGTTTTTTTTCTGATGAATTAGGTGGTCACAAATTGCTCAGCATTTGCCTGGAAGAACTGATAATGAGATAAAGAACTACTGGCATTCACACCTGAAGAAAAAACTGGCCAAATTTGAAGAACTGGAAGCTCATATCAAAACGCAGTGCACCGCTACTTCAAGCTCAGAGAATATGGATTCTTCAGTAATCTCTCCTGATAATAATCTCAACACTCGAATTCCAAGCTATGACTCGTTAATGAATCACATGGAGAAATCATCAAGTGATAATAATGACTTGGCTAAAGAGGGTCACAAAAGCTGCTTGCCAAAGCTTTTATTTGCCGAGTGGCTGTCAGTAGAGAATGTTCATAGTGGGAGCTCTGTAAATTCAGGTCATGAGCAAGTGGTTTCCAGGGATGGCTTTAATAATCACAACACAAACTTTGTTCAAGATTCTTTCACGCATGGTTGTTTTTTGAATGAGGGAGCATTTGGTGGTGATTTCCATACTGGATTTAACAATGGTTTGGTGGATGAAATGTTTAACGTCTCGGGATTCAAGTTCGAAGATCAGATTTCTGGAATTGGGTTCGTGGATTCTATCTCAGGGGATGACATATGTAGCCATTTGAATATGAACAATGATGTAATGTACATATGAGAGCATGCATGTTGTTAATAGTTCAAAATTTCAGGGCATGAAGAAAACCTTCTCACTACACTTCTCATAATAATCTTGTCATCTGAATGAGACCCCAAGAAATTAGAAACCATACAAGCTTAATTAGTGGTTGTTCGTCCATGGAATAGTTTTAGGAGATACCCTCTGTTGATTTTTTATTNAGAAATACTGAAGCACATCTAAAGACATTTTTCTTCAGTTTCCAATGTACTGTTTACGACTTCAAGCCAAGTTTTCACCCTTTTCCAGTCAGAATTAGGAAAAACCCAAAACCTGAAAGTTGTATCTCTGCTTCTTAGCTTTCCAAAGCTTCTAAAATCAGGTCATTCTGAGTTTCCAAGCTCAAGTTACGCAATTTACGTTCAAAACTGTAATTTACGCTCAAAATCATCGTTTAGGCCTGTAAAGACAAATTAATAGAATTAGGTAGCAATTATGACCCAAATTGTATGAGAAGTATCCTAAATATTATCGAAATTCAATGCAAAATCATAGGGAAAAATATGATTATCATTTACAACAACCACAAATCCACCAAAAATATTCTACACAAATTTAGAGCTCAATCACAACTCTAACAAAAGTAAAGTACACGAAAGTTTACAAAAATATGGATTATAATCGCTCCAAATCCAGGTCCGCATGTAAAAGTGAAGTTGGGAATTGGGGAAGAAAAACTTAATATAAAAAAGACAAAATCTAACTTTTTAATTTTTTTACTATTTACTTTTTTTTTTTTTTACGTTTCAAAAAAAAACTTTTCAAATTTTTTCTTAAAGTTGAGGGCAGGCCTGGGTCTACCCTCAAGGGGCTTGGGTCTGCCCCTGTATAGAATAATACACTTCAGGTGCGTTTGGTTTAGGGAATGTTGGATTATTGGAAAGTTAAATTTCCTTGAAGATTATTGTGAATCTTTAGGAAAATGTGTTTAGTTAGTTGGAATAAATTAGTAGGTATGTTATATTAATATGTTTGATTGGGAGGAATAAATTAGTGAGTATGTTATTTAAATTACTAAATTGCTCTCTTTTTAAATATTAATATAATATTATTATTATTATTATTTGAATAATTTCTTTTAACCCCCAATATTTCAAATTTAGCTAAAACAACCCACTTATATAAAACTTTATATTATAACAAAATCACTCCCACCACCCCAAGCCACTACTGGCCACTCCCATCCGCCGCCGAAAGTCGCCAAAAGAACCTGGAAAACGCATCTTTTAGATCGAGCAACCTTGGGCTCTTCGTCGATGGTGGAGATGAGATCGGAGAGGGGATTATTGTAGAGGAGAGGTGATAGAGCGACGGCGGAGATCGACGTAGAGGAGTTGGAGACCAGAATAGATCTGGTCGTTAACGGCTATATCTCATTCAGATATGGCCAATAAAGGCCATGGATTTGGCCGTTAACAGCTAGATCTACTCCGATATGGCCTTTTCGGCCATCAATATGGCCAGAAAAGGTCATATCCGAGCCTCTCAGTGTCTCTCGGCTACTCATGGAGATTCTAGGCGATATCTGGTGACTTACGGCGGCAACCTGCTGTGGTTTGGTTGGCAGTAGGTGGGTAGGGGTGGTGGCTTGGGTAAGCTGTAATTTGTTTTGATTTCAAGGGTAATTTTGTCCAAGTTAATTAATTGGGGTGAAATGGTAAAAGCTAAATTCATGTAAATAAATTTGAAAATAAAGGTATTATTGTCCTAAAATTTTATTAATAAATGATAGAATTGTAACAAAAATAAGATTACCTTGGTAATCTTACAATACCTAAGAAAATGAAAGTTATCAAATTACCTCCAATATTACCAACAGTAACTGTTATTGATATTTGAAGATTACCGAAATCTTATATTACTTGACAACCAAACGTGGTAATCAAATAATATAAGATGACATAACCCCAGTAATCTCATATAATCCCCAACCAAACACTCCCTTCGAGATTTTAAAATAGATTTAGGAATTTGGGCTTACAAGTTTTATTTTATTTTATTCTTTAAAGAGTAAACGACACCCAAATAATAGTTTAATGAACTTTCTCACCTATGGACTTCTAAAATATCAGTTGACTATCCAAATTTATATTTCATTTCCAATTCCGGCATCATTATGACCCTACACTACCGTTATTCTCTTTCCCAATCATCATTCACCAAAACCCTTAAACCCTACTCCTGCCAAGCCCGCCAATTGTCGGCAATTGAGTGTTAGAGTCATGAAAGTGACTCTATTTTGGTGATAAAAATACCCCATGTGTGATTAAATTGAATATATTGAGATAATTAAAGAATTTATGAATTTATTCACGAAAATCGCTTCCTAAATATTTTGATGAATTTAACGTGTTTTGAAGGATTTGGAAACTATATGAGTTGATTATTAGGTTGTGGTTTATGGATTAAGGGTGATTTTGTCTCATTTATGCTATTTAGGGGGTAAAATGTACATGTTTTAAAGGGGATTCTCTGTATTTGTCAATTTTTATTATAGGGACCAAACTAACATTTTACAAGTTGTTTCTAAAAAGAAAAACCAATTAGTGTGAACAAGGGGGCGGTTCATCATCTTTTCCGGTGTGACCCTTTGTCTTCCATTTTCGAGACAGACCCCGGCGACGACTTTCGGCTTCTGGGGGCAGATATCAGCTTTCCCATCGTCCCGAACCACCAGCCGGAATCACGAAAACGCAGCCGCGGCGTTATCTACTCCCCACCGCGCACACCCACACTGTTGTCCTCCCAGGCCAGTTTTGGCCGTTTTTCGACGACGTCTCAGACTCCCCAATGGTCGATCTCCTTACTCACGGTCGGATCTGCACTTCCTTAGCTTAAAACGCCGCGAAAAACCGGCGGAATTCGCGATATTTAGCCGCCGCGCCTCTTCATTCTTCCAGGCCAGATAGATCTTGCTCATTTCCGGTGACTTCACCTCCCAGGACCTGATCTGAACTCCCCATCACAGAGCTTCCAGCGGTACTTCGGACTCCATTTCTGCCATCGTTTCCGGAAGACCCAGCCGGAAAATTAACGTTTTCCGGCGAAGTGCGGCTATATCATATTCCGGGCTTTCTGTTGGTCATTTTCACACTTTTCGCATCACTATAGTCGTCAGTACCTCTACTTCCGCCATGGTCAGCATTCGTTCCATCGTTTCGGGCTCCGTAATCACCACACGGAGATGCATAGCTAAGTTCCTACCGGTTGTCATGTACGGCATAGCGAGAGTAAGGATGGATCCACGACTCCCTCAAGCTACTCGCTAGGGTTGAGCCCGATATAAGGACATTTGTAGTAGAGTGTTTCGGATTCTATTGTTTTCGTTCATCTTTGATTCGATCTATTAATAGATGGAGCAAACTTGTGATGACTATTGCTGTCATTATGATTTAATGTTTTCTAGAAATTGTTGAATGATAAAACTTGGTTGATACAATAAATGATGATATGCTTTTATGATACTTCGCCATCGATTGTAATTCGAGTGTGTTAGGATTGAAGTTAATTCTACTGTTGTTGCGTTTATTGTGAAGTGTTTGGGGGTGATTGGAATACCGTGGTTGACAAATTGTATTTGGTAATCGCGTACCAATGTGGTATGCCTTGTAGTGTTTATCGACGGGTCCGAATGATGAGCTTTACACAACGACTGAGTACGGTGTGAGATCAGGAGTAGTTTACCTAGCGTGTCTGGAAAGCCTTTTGATTATCTGCTGGTAGGTTTAGGGGTCGTTAGAGGTTGGGAGGAGACTTGGTGAGTCCCGGTCTCGTGTGAACCAAAACGTAACTGGCAACATTTTTATTATAAAAGTCTTTAGTTGTTTTACATTTCAACTATTCATTATTTGCATGTTTAGTCATTTTAGTTTCATTAATCCATTGCCAATTCATTTCGCGTACTAAAAACATTAGGTTTTTAGTCTTGCTAACCGATGGATTCGATCCTACTATGCTAACTAGGTATTTGGTTTTTCAATTTTTAGACCATGCCGATGGTTAACATTGAGCGATTAAGGTGCATAGTCGCCCCTCCAAGTCAAATTCGATCAATCAAACCACCAAATTGCTATACTACCAAAGGACTCATCGACCCGACCACTCTTCAAAATCCCTAACCATATTGGAAGTTGCTCCTTTGTTCGCCGCCAGAATAAAATTTTTACATAGTAAGGGGTTTTAAAAGTGTGTGGGTAGGGAAACAAATTCATTAAGCCCTATTTGGGTGGGAAAATAATTCATTAACTCTTTTTTAAAGTATAGAACGACGAGTCCTGGGTACATACCTATATCGATTCCGGCCTTGAAAAACCTTTGCTCTTGCTTGTATGCCCAATCCCATATGAGAACCAAAAGAATAAATGAATGCAATACAACTGAAAGCAGTTAGGAGTAGTGTTTCTAAGTTGTTAGACATGGCCTTCACTTACCTTCATGTTTCTATTTCAAAAAGTGTATTAAAAAATAGAAATAAGAAATTTTGTAATTTGTAAACTAATGACAATACAAGCAAATGTTAGGAGTATGTGTTTGCTAAGTTTTTAGACAGGCCTTCACTTCGTTTTATGTTTATATTTTCAAAAATATTATAAAAATAGAAATAAGAAATTTTATTCGTACTTTTAAAATCAACAATGTTCCCTCCAAGGTTTGGCGACAATGGGAAGTTCCACCCTAGTTTCATAATTCCAAATCATCATTAAATTAACAATAATCGTTTAATGTAACGGTCAAAGGTTGTGTTTAAGTGGTCATTTGCATTGCATAAATCTAAAATGAAAATAGAATTCAAATAACACCTCCACATCTCAAATTTCTCTCACAAGCACCCTCTCCCTACACATACTCACTTCTCTTCCAACGTTCTCTCTCCATCACTTAACCAAACCCCCATTCTTCCTTAACTGTAGTCATAGCCTCCACCGCACATGGCCACCCACGCAAACAACCCACACCCCGAATTGGCCAAGAATTGTTCCTGCAACACCAATCCGCGCCCGTGGCGTAACTTGTTTTGTTAAGGG